TTAAATAACTCTTGGCAATTAGCTATTATACTTGGATGATCCAACACTCCCCAAAGTAGCAAATCATTATTAATTTGAATTCTTATCTGGAATATCTCCTGAATTTTTCCTTGTATCATTTGCCAGAACTTTTTTTATGGGGGACAAAAAGGGTTATTCCCATGGTGGAGGGGTTAGCAGAGTGATAGCCAATAGTCTTAGAATTCTCCCAGGAGAAGAATGACACCGATCTATTGAAGCAATCCTCAAGGATATGGGGGCCCAATGCGTTTCTGTATCCGCGGTTTAAGGGAACGCAGTTTCGGCCTCCCCGGGGCGCAAAAATTGCATCCCGGGAGGGCCGGCAGCCATCTGCAGCCCGGAAGAAGAAAGGTTTATGTAGAGCAGGGGTCCTCAAATTAAGGCCCGGGGGCTGGATGCGACCCTCCAAGGTCATTTACCTGGCCCTCGCTCAGGGTCAACCTAAGCCTGAAATGACTTGAAAGCACACAACAACAACAACAACAACAACAACAACAATGCTATCTCATCAGCCAAAAGCAGGCCCACACTTCCCATTGAAATACTAATAGGTTTATATTTGTTAAAATTGTTCTTCATTTTAATTATTGTATTTTTAAGTGTTTTTGCACTACAAATAAGATATGCCCAGCATGCATAGGAATTCATTCATTTATTTCAAATTATAATCCGGCCCTCCAACAGTTTGAGGGACTGTGATCTGGCCCTCTGTTTAAAATGTTTGTGGACCCCTGATGTAGAGTGAAGTTAGAGGCAATGAAAGGACACAAAGTTACACTATGGAGAGGAAAAAAGTTACAATTAATTGATACTTTTTATTGGGGGGATTAGTTACAATGTTAGGAAGGGGAAGAACGCGAAACTAACAAGAAGGCTTCTGAGTTGCAGCTGCTGCTGTGGCCATGTTCATGCAGGTTGGCCCAAGCGGGGCAATGGAGAACTGAGGAACTCCCTGCTGCGAGTCAGATCAGCTTGAAGGCAGGGAGTTTGACCTCAATCTTAGCCTCCTGAATGTGAAATTAATATGCAATACCACCATGACGTTTAGAAGTTCAGCTGATGAAAGTAGACATACAGGTGCATTTAACTGCCACTGCTCAAACACATATGTGAAGCCCAGCTATTTCATGAGGCTCCCCCCACTTCTGTGCTTGGGCAGCTAGGAGTTCTGATTTCATAGTGGCAGATTATATTTTCTTGGTTTTAAAAATGTAATCTTCTGGTTTGAAAGGTGAGATGGAAATTGAGTAAATAAATAAACAGCTGGAAGGAAACACAAAGAGATATGTTGGTTTAGCATAACCTCTCCAGAGCTATCAGTATTTCCACTGAAGGAAAGCAGCTTTGGTGCTAAACCAGTGGTGTCTGCAGTGGACCGAAAAAGGGTCAATATATTCATGCCGAAATGCAGACATGACAAAAGCACACCAGAGAATAAATATTCAACTTATTCTGGGTGTGGTTACATTCTCCCTGGAAACTTGTGTTTGCAGCTCGCCCGTACTCCTGAACCCAACCTTGAGCCTGGATATATAGGTTTCAAAGGTGACCTGGAGTGCATTTGTATAATAAAACTAGTGCACCTGCTGTGCCTGCTCCTGAAAATGGCTGATCATGTCACTGTGGTTACACGTATTTACTCAAGTCTAATGTGCCATCGAATTTTACCTGCACCTCGATGTTCAAAACCCTAAAACTAAAAAAAGTATTTGCTGGTGTCTGTAATACGCAGTAACAAAAGGTGCACTCTTTGTAATTTGGTAAAAAAAATAGTGGCTGCCTGCTTTGAATTCCTCCTTTAAGAACAAAAGTGTTAAGACACCAAAGCTTTCAGCAATGGAAAAGAAAACCTTGGGGTGCATCTGTGCTGTAGAATGAATCCTTGGTTCAATGTTTTGGAGTCATGGGGGCTGTACTTACTTACTTAGGCGATCCCTCGTTTCCTGAGGAGGATTGTCTTCCAATATTCTTGTGGGTCCGTATGTGGCTGTGGAGCCCTATTCTTGCTCTGCATCTTCTTCCGCAGTGAGGACACTGGTTTCCAGGTGGAAGGCGGTCTCGGTTGGGGTTTGGCTTGATGCGCCTTCCTCTTGGCACGCTTTTCCCTTTCGCCCTCCATTCATGCCTCTTCAAATTCTGCAGCACTGCTGGTCACAGCTGACCTCCAGCTGGAGTGGTCAAGGGCCAGGGCTTCCCAGTTCTCAGTGTTTATGCCGAGTTTTGAAGGTTGGCTTTGAGCCCATCTTTAAATCTCTTTTCCTGCCCACCAACATTCTGTTTTCCGTTCTTGAGTTCGGAGTAGAGCAACTGCTTTGGGGGACGGTGGTCGGGCATCCGGACAACGTGGCCGGTCCAGCGGAGTTGATGGTGGAGGACCATCGCTTCAATGCTGGTGGTCTTTGCTTCTTCCAGCACGCTGACGTTTGTCCGCCTGTCTTCCCAACGGCTGCTCTGGCCAGAGCGAAGACAGAAGGGAGCAGAAGACACTTCCATCTTGTCTTTACTAATAATATAATAATAGTATATTGTATATACATATAATATATAAAATATTATTATGTAATACAATATAATAATAGTAATAATAATTCAATATTATAATTATAATTATATATTTACATTACATGTAATATTACTAATAATATTACAATATAATGGTATAGTGCAATATAGTAATATATACTGATATTGTACTACGCTAATAATATAATATATTGTATGAAAATATATATTGTAAGCCGCTCTGAGTCCCCTTCAGGGTGAGAAGGGCGGCATATAAAACCGTAAATAAATAAATAAATACATTTGCAGGATTTTCTGGAGGCAGCGCTGATGGAATCGTTCCAGGAGTTGCATGTGACATCTGTAGACAGTCCACGTTTCACAGGCATATAGCAGGGTTGGGAGGACAATAGCTCTATAGACAAGCACCTTGGTATCCCTACGGATGTCCCGGTCCTCAAACACTCTCTGCTTCATTCGGAAAAATGCTGCGCTCACAGAGCTCAGGCGGTGTTGTATTTCGGTGTCGATGTTGACTTTGGTGGAGAGGTGGCTGCCAAGGTAGCGGAAATGATTGACATTTTCTAATGTTACACCATTAAGCTGTATCACTGGCATTGGAGAGGGGTTGGCTTGTGTCTGCTGGAACAGCACAGTTTTACAAAGTCTTGAGCCTTCTCTGCCAAAGAATGCTGGTGACCCACCAACTACAAATCCCAGCACTGCATAGCATTTAACTCTGGCAATTAAATTAGAGATCATGTCCCTCAAATAGGAGCTCCAGGTGCTTCTGAAGTAGCTTCCCATTTTGCTTTCGCTCAGCACTAAAATTACTGTATAACACAAATCTAATGTGCACCCTAATTTTGGGAAGGTAATATAGCAAAAAAAGGTGAGTATTAGATTTGAGTGAATATGGTATATCCTGTTTGAATTACAAGTTTAATATATCTTTTCCATTTCCACCTTGTCTCCTGTGCTATGCTAATAATATCTATATAAATAAAAATGTAATGTTCGTTTGTGGTATTCACAGAACTCAAAAACCACTGGACGAATTGACACCAAATTTGGACACAAGACACCTAACAACCCAATGTATGTCCTTCACTCAAAAAAAAATTGATTTTGTCATTTGGAAGTTGTAGTTGTTGGGATTTATAGTTCACCTACAATCAAATAACATTCTGAACTCCACCAATGATGGAATTGAACCAGTTTTGGGACACAGAACTCCCGTGATCAACAGAAAACACTACAAGAGTTTGGTGGGCATTGACGTTGAGTTTGGGAGTTGTAGTTCACCTACATCCAGATATCACTGTGGCCTCAAACAATGATGGATCTGGACCAAACTCTACGAGAATACTTAATATGCCCAAAAGTGAACACTGGTGGAGTTTGGAGAAAATAGAATCTTGACATTTGGGAGTTGTAGTTGCTGAGATTTATAGTTCACCTACAATCAAAGAGCATTCTGAACCACATCAACGATGGAATTGAACCAAACTTGGCACACAATTCTCCCATGACCAACAGAAAATACTGGAAGGGTTTGGTGGGCAGTTTTGGAGTTGTAGTTCACCTACATCCAGAGATCAATGTGGACTCAAACAATGATGGATCTGGACCAAACTCTACGAGAATACTCAATATGCCCAAATGTGAACACTGGTGGAGTTTAGGGAAAATAGAATCTTGACATTTGGGAGTTGTAGTTGCTGGGATGTATAGTTCACCTACAATCACAGAGCATTCTGAACCCCACCAATAATGGAATTGAACCAAACTTGGCACACAGAACTCTACATGAATACTCAATATGCCTAAATGTGAACACTGGTGGAGTTTGGGGAAAATAGAGCTTGACATTTGGGATTCCCAGTAACTATCCCAGTAACTATTGACTGTAGTTACTGGGATTTATAGTTCACCAACAATCTAAGAGCATTCTAAACCCCACCAACGACAGAATTGGGGCAAACTTCCCACAGAGAACTCCCATGACCAACAGAAAATACTTAAGGCCATCCAGTCCAACTCCCTTCACTCGCCTTTCCAAAAAGTTAACTTTACTGAAGCGATTGGCTGCTCGCTCTGAGTGACAGAAACATTGGCCAATAGAAAGCCAAAAAGGCGCAGCGGGCGGGGCTCGCCGCTTTGATAGATAACTCGTTGTTTGAAGAGAAGGAGAGCAAGGGTTACGAATGGGGAACAGCGCCCGAGAGAAAGGGGCGGGGTTTAATGCAGTTTGACCACTTTCCGGAGGCGGCTATTGGCTGGGTGAGCCGCAGAGGGAGCGCCGAATGACAGGTCAGTTCGTCCAATTAGAACGCCAACCGGAAATGAGGCGGGCCGATGCAACAGCGCCCTATCAGCGCGAGAGGCCGCCAGATCCTCGTTCCCTATTGGTTATCGCCACGGAGTGATGGCTGCGCTGACCAATGGGAAGGGAGTCGGGGCGGGAGGAGGCGCGAGCGGGGCGTCGCTGAGGCCGGATGAGGAGACTCCGAGGGGGAAGTTTGGTGCTTGTTGCCGGGGGCTGAGCGAGGAAGCGGAGGAGCGCCCTCCCCGCTTTCTTTTAGGCCGTCGCCATGGGCAACCGAGGGATGGAGGAGCTGATCCCGCTTGTTAACAAGCTGCAGGATGCCTTCAGCTCCATCGGGCAGAGCTGCCACCTCGACCTGCCGCAGATCGCCGTCGTCGGCGGACAGAGCGCGGGCAAGAGCTCCGTCCTGGAGAACTTCGTAGGCCGGTGAGTGGGGAAGGGCTCTGAGGAGAATGGGGCGCAGTTTACGGAAATGCCTGCCGAGAATGCCGCGCACGCGCGCCTGCTGCGGAGCTGGGCACACACACCGTCTGTGAATAGCCCCCTCCGCCGTAGTGAGGGCGTCTCAGTGCGCCAGTTGCGTCAGCTGCGTAAGGGGCGCGCGAGGCAGGCGGGCAGGGAGGGGCGCGCGCGGGAGAAGCAAGCTTTGTGGGGATGCTCTCCCGGCCTCTGGCTCGTCCTCGCGCCCTGTGGAGTGTGTGGAATGGGCGGGCGAGGATTACAGCAACCTTTGTGCCTCCCTCAGCAGCAGGTGCAGTTTGGGCCTCCTCCTCATTCGACGCCACTCTGCTTAAACTCCCCCACACACAATAATGACACTTGTCATTGCATATTCACAGCGCAATAACAACAACATTATTCTCTTTTAGGCCTGTTTCTGAGGTTTTTTTTTTTTTTTTATTTCCAGCATTTCTACTCTGTATTGTCGAAGGCTTTCATGGCCGGAATCACTGGGTTGTTTTAGGTTTTTCCGGGCTATATGGCCATGTTCTGGAGGCAATTTTTCTCCTGACGTTTCGCCTGCATCTATGGCAAGCATCCTCAGAGGTAGTGAGGTCTGTTGGAACTAGGAAAAAGAGTTTCCCTACCTCCTCCTGACCTCACTACCTCTGAGGATGCTTGCCATAGATGCAGGCGAAACGTCAGGAGAAAAATTGCCTTCAGAACATGGCCATGTAGCCCGGAAAAACCTACAACAACCCATTTCTACTCTGTCTTTCTCAACCCCCAAAGGGGGACTCCGGACGGCTTACATTTGGCACAGTTTGATGCCATTAAATATAACAAAGCAATATAACCACAATTAAAACAATAAATAGAACATTAATTTAAACAATAAAAACAGTACTAACCGCCATATCACCATTCCAGTCAAATTCCATATCTAAAGCGCTATTTTCCATATCCAAAGCACGAAACGGTTTGGGACCCGCCTACCTACGTGACCGCATCTCTGTGTACGAACCCACACGATCTCTTTGTTCATCTGGAGAGGCCCTGCTCACGATTCCACCTGCATCACAAGCGCGATAGGTGGGGACGAGGGACAGGGCTTTCTCGGTGGTGGCCCCTCGACTCTGGAATTCTCTCCCTAAGGACATCAGGCAGGCCCCGTCGCTAGCAATCTTTAGGAGGAGCATGAAAACGTGGTTGTTCCAGTGTGCCTTCCCAGAATAAAGAATCTCCTAGCATTATGTCCCAACGCACTTTATCAGAGATCCAGGATATCTGCATGCCCATCCCCCTCCAAACACTCCACCTGGTCATGCCCAGCACTTTTAATTTTTTCAGTCGTCTCCGACTCTTCGTGACCTCATGGACCAGCCCACGCCAGAGCTCCCTGTCGGTCGTCACCACCCCTGGCTCCTTCAAGGTCAGTCCAGTCACTTCAAGGATGCCATCCATCCATCTTGCCCTTGGTCGGCCCCTCTTCCTTTTTCCTTCCACTTTCCCCAGCATAATTGTCTTCTCCAGGCTTTGCTGTCTCCTCATGATGTGGCCAAAGTACTTCAACTTTGTCTCTAGTATCCTTCCCTCCAGTGAGCAGTCGGGCTTTATGTCATGCCCAGCACTTTTAATTTTAATTGTTACACTTGGCCCGGCCATTGTTTTTAATTGCGTCATTGGATGTTGTTAATGTTATTGCTTTGTTTTTTGAGTTATTGTGTTGTTGTTGTTGCTGCTGTATTTTATTGTTGTATTTGGGCTCGGCCTCTTGTAAGCCGCACTGAGTCCTTCAGGAGATGGTAGCGGGGTACAAATAAAGGTTTATTATTATTATTATTATTATTATTATTATTTATGCCTAGTCCCAGAACCATGACTTAAGTGCTCTGTGCATAATGAGTACCTTAAAAACAAAAGAACCAATGAACAAAATCACACCAAATTTGGCAACTAAATGTCTCACAACACAAGGAGTGACCATCACTCAAAAAATTATGATTTTGTCATTTGGGAGTTGTAGTTGCTGATTTATTTATTATTCGAACTTATATGCCGCCACTCCCCTGGGGCTCGGAGCGGCTTACAAGAACAGGCTAAAATCTAACACAATTTAAAAACAATTTAAAAACAGCAATATCAAAAATCAAAGGCCTGTCGAAACAGGTATGTCTTACATGCCCTGCGGAAAGCTGATAAGTCCCGCAAGGCACGGACTTCAGGTGGCAGAGTATTCCAGAGTGATGGTGCCACTGCTGTAAAGGCTCTGCGTCTGGTTGCTGTTAGACGCAAGGTCTTGACACTGGGAATTTCAATAGATCTTGGTCCTAGAATGGAGGGATCTCTGGGGTTGGTAGGGGGTGAGGCGGTCCCTCAGATACATCGGCCCCAGACCATGCAAGGCCTTAAAGGTGAGTACCATCACTTTGAAAGTGATCCGGTGCTCAATTGGTAACCAATGCAGCTGTAGTAAGATTGGTGTTATGTGGCATTTCATCGGAATTCCCGCAAGAAGCCGAGCAGCTGCATTTTGTACCAACTTGAGCTTCCGAATCACCGACAGAGGGAGGCCAATGTAGAGGGCATTACAGTAGTCCAGTCTTGAGATGACCGATTAAAACATTATCATCACAGTTAAAAGAGCCAAATCGTCCAACACCATCACAATACCATTCATCATCCTCCTTTCATGTGGGCAAAGAATTAAATCAGTTGTCAAATGCCGCGTTCCACAACCAGGTCTTTGTTAGTTTCCTGAACGTCATGAGGGAGGGGGCAGTTCTGATCTCTAATGGCAGGGAGTTCCAAAGTCGAGGGGCCACCATCGAGAAGGCCCTGTTCCTCGTCCCCACCAGCCGTGCTTGTGCAGGCGGTGGGACCGAGAGCAGGGCCCCTCCAGACGATCTCAGTGGTCTTGATGGTTCGTAGGGGAGAATACGTTCGGAGAGGTAAACAGGGCCAGAGTCGTTTAGGGCTTTATAGGTTAACACCAGCACTTTGAATTGTGCTCGGAAGCTAATTGGCAGCCAGTGGAGTTCGAGTAACAGCGGAGTGGTGTGCTCCCTGTACCCAGCACCCGTTAGTAATCTGGCTGCCGCGCGTTGTACATTCTGCAGCTTCCGGGCAGTCTTCAGAGGCAACCCCACATAGAGAGCGTTGCAGTAATCTAAGCGGGATGTAACCAAAGCGTGTACTACTGTGGCCAAGTCAGCCCTCCCAAGGTACGGACGCAGCTGGCGCACAAGTTTTAATTGTGCGAATGCTCCCCTGACCACCGCTAAAAATAAGTAACATGCATATTTTTAACATAGAATCATAGAATCAAAGAGTTGGAAGAGACCTCATGGGCCATCCAGTCCAACCCTGCCAAGAAGCAGGAATATTGCATTCAAATCACCCCTGACAGATGGCCATCCAGCCTCTGTTTAAAAGCTTCCAAAGAAGGAGCCTCCACCACACTCTGGGGCAGAGAGTTCCACTGCTGAAAGGCTCTCACAGTCAGGAAGTTCTTCCTCATGTTCAGATGGAATCTCCTCTCTTGTAGTTTGAAGCCATTGTTCCGTCCTAGTCTCCAAGGAAGCAGAAAACAAGCTTGCTCCCTCCTCCCTGTGGCTTCCTCTCACATATTTATACATGGCTATCATATCTCCTCTCAGCCTTCTCTTCTTCAGCCTAAACATGCCCAGCTCCTTAAGCTGCTCCTCATAGGGCTTGTTCTCCAGACCCTTGATCATTTTAGTCGCCCTCCTCTGGACACATTCCAGCTTGTCAATATCTCTCTTGAATTGTGGTGCCCAGAATTGGACACAATATTCCAGATGTGGTCTAACCAAAGCAGAATAGAGGGGTAGCAGGACTTCCCTGGATCTAGGCACTATGCTCCTATTGATGCAGGCCAAAATCCCATTGGCTTTTTTTGCCGTCACATCACATTGTTGGCTCATGTTTAACTTGTTGTCCACGAGGACTCCAAGATCTTTTTCACATGCCCCATCCCTCTCTGACAGGCCACCTCTCTTCCAACTCTATGATTCTATGCAGATGATGTCCAAATCTGTCACTCCTTCTCACCTGTCACCAAGGAGGCTGTCCAAACCTTGAATTTATTTATTTGGTAGTTTTGTATACCGGTCTTCTCACCTCCATTCGAGGGACTCGGGGTTTCCAACATCAGTATTACAGACAGTCATTAAAACATCATATTTCTAAATCACACTAAAACATTGAAACAATTAAAATGGCAAAAATACAATCATATGATTACAGTGGTCAGTCGTCATCAAAGTCATTATTCGTCGTCATCCATCCATATCACAGGATCATGGCTCATTCGTTGAATGCCAATCCCCAAAGCCAAGGTTTTCACCTGTTTCCTGAACGTTAAGATAGAAGGGGCAGTTCTGATCTCCAGTGGAAGGGAGTTCCAGAGTCGAGGGGCCACCACCGAGAAGGCCCTGTCTCTCGTCCCCACCAGCCGCGCCTGTGAGGCTGGTGGGATCGAGAGCAGGGCCCCTCCAGACGATCTTAGTAATCTTGATGGCTCATAGGGGAGGATACGTTCGGACAGGTAAATTGGGCCGGAGTTGTTTAGGGCTTTATAGGTTGAACCAGTGCTTGGCAGCTGTGTCGGACTGGATGAGAGCTAACAAATTGAAACTGAATCCAGACAAGACAGAGGTCAGTCGTAAGGCCGAACAGGGCATAGGGTTTCAGCCTGTGTTGGATGGGGTTAAACTCCCCCTGAAGATGCAGGTTCTCAGCTTGGGAGTTCTGGATTCATAGCTGAGCCTGGAACCCCAGATTTCGGCGGTGGCAGGCGAGCTTTTGCACAATTAAAACTTGTGCGCCAGCTGCACCCATACCTTGAGAAGCCTGACTTGGCCACGGCAGTCCATGCTCTTGTTACATCTCAAATAGACTACTGCAATGTGTTCTACATGAGACTGCCTTTGAAGACTGGAAACTTCAACTAGTCCAGCGGG